GGAGGGGGAGGGGAAGGGGGAGGAGGATGAGAAGATGGAAAAGAGGAAGGGGGCGGAGGAGGGGGGGAGGGAGAAGGAGAAGGGTCAGCGGGCCCACCAATTGCATCACACCTGAAAACAGAAGTCACAGTGCAGACAAAACAGCCTATATAGCTTTCACGATTCTCCTATTTATGATCATTTTTATCTCACCTCACATATATATATATATAGCTGTTCCCCCGATGAGGAGGAGACCCAAAAAAAAAGAAGAAAAGTTGTTGCTGTTGCTTTTTCAGCCCCAACCACCTAGAGATAGGCCGTTGGTCCCCCTGAGTGGCATTTAGCAGAGACTGCTGATGTTCATAGGGGGAGGGGACTGGAGGTGAGGCACAAGTCGCACAACGACTGGCCCATCGAAGAAGCTCGGTCCTGATGGTATCGGCTGACCCCTGGCCGGTATAGCCTACCTGCTGTAGCAGGTGTTGCACCTGCTGGTGGGTGCAGCTCCCACATGTTCCCTTGTTGGAGGCTTGAGCACGGTTGTGGCTGCTACGGGGTTGTAGCAGGTATTGCACCTGCTGGTGGGTGCAGCTCCCGCATGTTCCCGTGTTGGAGGCTTGAGCACGGTTGCGGCTTGAGCACGGTTGCGGCTGCTAAGGGGTTCCCCGTAAGACTATAATGACAATAAAAAGGCCTGAAAGGCCGTGCTATCCAGATTTGACAGGTAATTGAATTCAATTAGCGTTTTTTATTTTTTCATTAAAAAAAGTTCCAAGCCCCAGTGCGACTAGCCTCTGGTCATACTCACATTGGCACTTGGCTGATGTATCTGACGTAGATCACGGCAAAAGTTCTATGCATCTGACTGCAATCACGTCCAGTCCAGATTTGACAGGTAATTGAATTGAATTAACGTCTTTTATTTTTTTATAAAAAATAACGTCTTTATTCTTTTATGAAAAATAAAGTCAAAGTCCCAGTGCGATTAGCCTCAGGTCATACTCACAATGGCACTTCCCTGATGTATCTGACTTCGATCACGGCAAAAGATGGACGCATCTGACGGCAATCACATCTACAGCTGAGTCCAAAATTTAGTTGTCGTGTGAGTATGCCCTTCAAGATCTCAGTCGGCTACGGAGTCTTTTTTTTATTTTTTTATTTTTTTAATATCAAAACACGGGCCCAGTGCCGAAGGCTTATATTACCAATAATTCGGCTCGGAGTCCGCTATGACGAAGGCCTGGACTTAAAAAAAAAAAAGAAAAAAAAAAAGGCAAGGATTGACAGTAAAAAAGGAAAAAAAAAAAAAAAAGAAGAGTGCCAGAAGCTGTCCAGCGCTGTTGAGAATTCACTTGGCTCGAAGTGCCAATGCTTTCACCCTGGCGCCGCAGGGACAGGCGAGCAGTGGCTTTCAGCGGGGGCCAATCACCCACCTCCGGTTGTTTCGTCACCACTGCAATGACTCTTTGCTATAAAGTGACGCAGCCCGGATATCAAGGGTAGGAGTATCGCAGAGACGATACAGTCGTGCTATGAAGCGAAGCAGCCCACGTCGCAAGGGCAGGCGTATTACGGAGACGACACGCTTGGTGGCAAGCGGAAGTTGCGTCGCACCGGTTCTCTGCAGTGTTGTCGAGCGGCATCTCTTCATCCCCGTTCGCGCAGTCCATTGGTGGACAAGACTTGTGGTAAATTGCGGTGGGATTTCTCCGCGGGTTTGGTCGCTGAGATCGGTGTTTGGTGCCGAATTACTGTGCGTTTGATCTGTATCTTGGGAGGAAGGTGATCGAGTGCTGTTGTTACGAGCATCATGGCTCTCGTTAGCGGTAGTCGGCGGCAAAGCCACTGGAGCGCCAACTGGGCACTTGTCTGCGTTGGGCTTGTCATCCTGGTCAGCGTTGCGCAGGTGATGGCGATGACGACCGGGACGTCTGCATCAAAGGGACAGTTCGAGTATGGGAGGCCATACGATGTGGCAAAGACGGACGGTGGATCTTTGTCGTTGTGGTCGGAGTCGTTTGAGGAATTGACTAAGCATGGTGCTCACATCGTAGCTGGCCATCTGACGCTGGAGGCGAACGGGTTCGCCCTCCCTGCGTATGTGAATTCCCCGCAGATAGTCTACGTTCTCGARGGTGAGATAGTSAATGATGCTCTTTGACCAAACGATGTCTCTCTCAGTTTTGAGTTGACGAGCTACTCTGCTTGGTGAATGTGGTATGGATATAGGTATTCGTTGTTCCAGCGTGTTGCTGGTCAGTGCGTTAGTGCTATCTTTACGCTCCGTGCTTGCGTCGTTGAATTGTTTAGCTGGCTAGTTTCTGTCCGTGGTGTAAGTGTCTTCCGTGTTACGGATGTATTCGGGCTGACTATTTTCGCCTTGCGGATTGCTGTTTCTTGACGGAGTGTTAACCTGTTGTGGACGTGTGTGCTGACGATTTGTCCGTTTACCTGGCTAGTTTCTGTCTGTGGTTGAAGTAGTTTCTGTCTGTGGTTGAAGTCTGTCCGTGGTACAAGTGGCTTCCCTGTTGCGGATGTTCGGGCTGACTAATTGGTTTGTGTTGTGTTTGTGTTGTGGACGTGTGCGGACGATTTGTCTGTCTTGCTGAATTGAACATCGACGGAAGTATTTTTCTTTTTATGTACGGAGGCAATTACAAACGTCTCCTGTTGTTCCGTCGTGCTGAATTGCTTAATGGAACATCGACGGAGGATAAGTTTTCTTCGTGTTTGGATGCATGAAGCTAGGCTACCAGCCGGGCCGCCCGGGTCAGAAAAATAAACTGAACAACGTCAGGGTCATATCGAAATTCATCACCAAATTTAAAATATTTAGAGTTAAAATAGTTTTTAATTTTTAATTTTTGATTTTTTGGTCCGGTTTGAGTGGCCCCGGGCCACTATGGTTTGGTTCGAAGGTTTGTAAGTGTCGTCTATTGTGGATGTGCGGGCTGACGATGGGTTCGTCTTGCTGAATGATTAATTGCATGTGGTTGTCATGTTTTGGATGTGCGGCTGACGGTGTGGCCGCCTCGGTGAATACTACATTCACGCAGGAAGTGTGGCGCTTTGTTGGGATTTTTGCGAATGTTGTAGGGATTTTTATGAATGTGTCTAGTGTTCTTTAAGCCGGGAAATGTGAAATGTCGACATGAAGAACACTATGAGAGAGAGACGTTTTCTGAACTTGGAATGGGGGTCAGAAAGGCCGCCAGGAACTTCTTAAGATGGTGCAGGGGGTTTCGGAAGGCCTCGTTCTCGTGTATCCGTCCGTGTACATCACAAAGCACTCTCATCCTGCATTTCAAGCTATGATCTCCCGAGCATAGCCCCTCGTAAGGCTGAACGTATGAGCTATCAGCCCGGTCCAACACAGTCATGGTGAGGGTGAGTTGTGTTGGTTCTACGGCATTCGGAGTGAGAAAATGAGCGTCGATGAGCACGTTGAGCGTGAGGCGTGCGGAGTGGATAAAGCTACCGCTCCTTTGGTTGCGGTCAAATGGACGTAGAAGCTGACCGTATTGCGAATAACGGAGTAGGTATGGTTGAGTGATTTGTATAGGTGTGGTTGAATGTTGTGTATGACGTGGTGGCTGAAGGATGTATGTTGTGTATGACGTGGTGGCTGAAGGATGTGTATGACGTGGTGGGTGAATGGTTTGTATGACGTGGATACTTTTTTGGCTGGTGTGTATGACGTGACAGGTTCGGCCCATGTCGGTCTGATGACGCCGATGGGCATTTCTGCGGCGATCCAGAGGATCAGCGAGGGGGATGTGGTAGTGATACCACGTGGATGGGCTAGTTGGGCGTGTAATCATCAGGAGAGGCGGTTCAAGGCGCTCTTCGTGGCTGATTTATCTGAGCATGCGGGCATCTCTGCCAAGGAGAGTGTAAGTGTGACCGACAGTCTTGTGCATGTTGTTTGACATTTTCTGTTTTTCAGTCGGCCACCCACACTTTTTGTATGCTCATGCGACGGACAGTTCGGACTGGGAGTTCGGTTAGGTCAAAGAGGTTTTCCGTTATGCTTGTGAGGCGTGCATTTGTTTTTTTCGGTCGGCCCGATGGAACGTCTCTCGGTTGTTTTAAGTTTTGACTATTTCTTTCACAGTTCTTGAGTTTTTCGTGTTGTCGCTTTTGCATCTTTAGTTATGATCCCTGACGCTTTTGCATCTTTGTAATGATCCCTGATGTATAGTACGCCACTGTAACGCCAGTACTATGTGGTAATTTTGGATTATGCATGTGACACTGGGTGAGACCATGGTAAGGCTATTGCTAATTGTTTGCTCGGTCGGCGGAGTCTGTAGCTAGTTATGAGCGGAGCTGCGGAGGCATCACATTTGTCTTACGCTGGTACTTGAGAAATAGTACTCTGTCAGAGGTGTTTTAAACATGTTTGAAGCTGTGAGCAGAATGACACAGCGGTTTTCTGTCAGGAATCCTGCTTTTTCGTTTTTTGCTGCTTCGCACGGCTTGATCGATTGTGCATGCGTCAGTTTGTTTGGCTCTGATAGTTGATGCATATGGGTCGGTTTGTTTGGCTCTGATAGTCGCCGGCTTGATGCATATGGGTCAGTTTGTTTGACTCTGATAGTCGCCGGCTTGATGCATGGGTTAGTCTGCTCGTGATATTAAGTTGACCAGTCGGCGTCAGTCTAGTGATTGGAAGTTGACCAGTCTGCGTAAAGGTGTCTGTCTCTTTGGCACGAAGTTTGTGAGAGTTCAGCGGAAGACGTTACCGAACAGTTAACTAATGGGCTTGGAGATGGTTTTCTTGGTATGGATGTCTCGCTGTTTTGTTCCAGTCCTTCGCGCTGGCTGGCTCCATGAAGGACTTGGGGGAAGGCTGGCGGCAGGGCAGCGTCCTGCACGGGTTTACGAAGGACGTGCTGGCAGCGGCGTGGGATGTGGAGGAAAGGGATGTCGAGAAACTCCTGAACTCTCAGAGAGAAAGCGTGATAACGAAGGTATGCTGTACTGAGGTCTCAGCTTTGGTTAAGTACGATTTGTCAGTAGTTGTGGTCTCATCTTTGGTTAAATACGATGTGTCAGTGGTTGGGATTTTTTATGTGCTAGTGGTGTTCACACCTCTTTTGCAGGCACATATGGTTAATAGGCGAATGTCGTTTTCGGCGAATTTTTCACCGAAAATGCTTATTTCCCCAAATAGGTGGTTTTCTTTTTATTTGCTTTTTTGTGTGATACGTACGTGCTTTAGGGTACATCTGTATTCAATCCCTGCATTTGGACCGTTAATACATCTGTATTTCAATTTCGATGCATTGGGACCGTTAATAGAGAAGTTGTGAAAAACACCGAATTCAGGAAAAAAAATTGGCCAACTCCGAAAGCTACATAGTAGGGTTTTATGGTGCTTTTAGTTTTTGCTCTTCGTTTTTTCTTGCATGTTTTGTTTTTTTAATGTTTGAATTACGAGCTTGCATTGTTTGTTCGCGAAATTTTTGACGACATTGCTTGTGGTGGTGCTGCGAAAAGCCCGGAATTTTCGGCCCATTGATCTTCTCTCAAGATTAGAGTTACGAGTTCCCGCCGTTTCTATTCAGCCGTGAGTTCCCGCCGATTCTATTCAGCCGTCCTTCCAGGCTCTTGCTCCTTCGTTGTCCCCTGACGTGTCTCCGTATGTACTTTGTATGAGTTGTATGCCAAGAGTTCGAAGTCAATGGATTGGAATGTGTTTTATGCATAAGCGTGAAAAAACGACGCGTCGAGATTGAAGACAATTGTTTTGCTAGTGGTGTGTAGGACCTGGGGTTTATTCAAGTTTTGTTTTCATTCTCCTCTCTCGCACAGTCCCTTTCGTTTCGGACCATTTCTCGATGATTACTTAAGGCGCTGATCGTCGAGCATCCTGTAATAGGGAGAAAAAATGCTGATCGTCGAGCATCTTGTAGTCGGGAGTCAAATCGGCTGATCGTCGAGCGTCTTGTAGTCGGGAGTCAAATTTCAGAATATGAGGACGGGTTGTGAGCTCATTAAGACGGATCTTGCAATTGACAAACGTGACCACCGTAATGTGATTGTCGACTTTGGCCAGAGACGAGTTCCCCTTTGTTGCGCGTGAGCGTAGAATTACATGCTTTTTTTTTTTTTTTTTTTTTAAAGAATTACGAGCGTTTCCGTACTGCGGGTCATCCTCTTTCGTCTCCCTGAGCCAAGGATATTGTGGTTTTCTTAAATTTGTCTTAGACAGACGGGTAATGGCTTCGGTATCCATGTTTGGGCGCGGTTCTCAGCACGTGCTGTTTTTTTTTCGTGATTGTTCGCCAATTTCTTTGACGACGATATTCAAAATTTTTGGAATCATTTAAGATTGAGAACTGCTCCCCACGACTGGATGGGAGCAATTGTGAGAAAAAAAAAAGCAAAGACAGATCGTGTGGAGCGCGGGTGTTGCCGTGGACTGGGGCGTCTTACTGAACGCTCGGAGATTTGTGTGTAGTTCGTGATTTACGAGCGTGTGAAGTTTGTGATTTTGAGCGTGTGGTAGTTTGTGATTTATGAGCGTGTGTTATATATTGGATGCACATGTCTATCGTGTGGTAGTTTGTGATTTATGAGCGTGTGTTATATATTGGATGTGCATGTCTATGGACATCAGCAGTGGTGGAGGTTTTGTGTGATGTTTGTAGTGTGCAATGGAGGGTTTCGCGACTGCATTAATGCTTAATATTATGTTCTTCGAGACGTCCCTTCAAATTGGAGCGATACCGGAGCGGGATCCCTTAAAGATGGGGATATGCGTTAGCCGATAAATTGTGGACCGCTTTTTGTATGTACTACATGATAGAAAGAAAGATGAATGTCTTACATTGTAATTTACGTGGCTGGTTGGATGTGGTGACTCCCTGATCCACCGATGACTCCCTCATGCACAGGTTTCACGGGAGGCAGCGGAGTCGTACGTCTCGTCGGAGCCGTCGGCGGCTGGGTTTGTAGGGGAGTTCATCTACAGCTTGAAGAATTCGCAACCGGATGTCTTTAACGAGGGGGGCGAATTCCATCTCGTCAACCGCAACAAGTTGCAGACGCTACACAAATTTGGCACGGACTTCGCTGTGGCCTTTGCAAAATTGAATAAGGTACTTACTCGATGGGCCATGGAATGTAAGGGGATATGGTTTGGTTGGTTAGATGGCAAGATAACGTACGCGGAAAGGGACGTAAGGTCGGCATCGTAAGCTGTGTGGGAATAGTGCGTTTCGAGTAGCCTTTTTTTTTGCTTGGGGGATGGGATTAGGGTCGGAGGTAGTAGTTCAGGTGAGGGAAGGGAAGGTGTATTTTTGGAGGCGACTGTCTGGAAAGACAAGAAGAAAACATACAGAGCAAAGCAAAAAAATGAACAGGAAAAAGAGGGGGGAATGGTTGATATGGATATGAAATTGTGGAATTCGTGCGTCGTTCACGGTTGTTTAATGGAATAAACGATGGTTCATCTTTAACCATAACGAGGTAATGGCTTCGACTGTTCATCCACACCTGTCTGTCAGGGTGCGAAAAGCGTTTAACTATGCAGTGTGTAAGGTTACGGTTGTTTAATGGAATAAACATTGGCTTTTGGTTCTTAAATTTATTGGTGTCTTCTATCAGGTGATGGGCCGGACTCTTCTTTGTCCACAAACGTCTCTCAGGGTGCACACCCGTCTCTCAGGGTGCGAAAGGTGTGTTGATAAATAAGTGCGGAACGTGGAATGCTGTCTTGTTGCGGAACGTGGAATGCTATTGATTGTCAAGTTACGGTTGTTTAATGGAATAAACGTTGCGTTTTTTTTTTGGCCATCCCGGTGATGGTGTTTTTGGGTCCAGACCTGTCTCTCAGGGTATGAAACGTGTTCATAAGTGATGTTGTGAAGTGAGCAGTCTGTGTTTCTCCTATGTTTTTGTGTGTGTGTGTGTGTGTTTGCGGAACGTGGAATGCTATTGATTGGCCAAGTTACGGTTGTTTAATGGAATAAACGTTGCGGTTTTTTTTTGGCCATCCCGGTGATTGGTTTGATTCTGGGCCCAGACCTGTCTCTCAGGGTATGAAACGTGTTCGTAAGTGATGTTGTGAATTGAGCAGTCTGTATTTCTGTGTGTGTGTGTGTGTGTGTGTGTGTGTTCCACAGGGAGCAATTGGCGCGCCGGGATGGTGCGTTAACGCGCACCACATCGTGTACTTCACTAAGGGCAGTGGACGATTTCAAATTGCACATCCCGACGGGAGTAATGCTCTGGACGCTCACGTTCGTGCTGGATCAGTGATCGTCGTGCCGCGTTTTCATGCAGCAGTCGTGGTACGTTTTTCTTCTCTTGGGTTCTGAGGGTAAAATATTCTCTGACAATTTCCGACGTTGAGCAATGGCTCTCGCACTCATAAAAGGGATTTGGTCAGTGTTTCAGTGGAGAGTTATACAAGCGACTTTATGATGTAGAGTGTGCAGTCGTTTCCATTCCTTGGGGGCGTTTACGTTGTTGCCCCGAATAGAACGTACGGTCATAGCTTCACTGGGAGCAAATTTCATACAGTACAGCGATGATGACCGTGTGTTCTACTCGGGAGATTTTGGCATAAGGAAGATGTGTATAAGAGACAGGTACAGCGATGATGACCGTGTGTTCTACTCGCGAGATTTTGGCATGAGGAGTCGATCTAGTTGTTTGCCTTGAGAGTTGATGTTGCCTTTCGACACACAGTTGGTTCTTTCTCGTATGTGGCAGGCGGATTATCATAACGGTCGTGTTTTCATTTCATTTTGGACACTGCATCTCATTACGCAGATGCATGGGTGGGTTGTGATGCCCACATGAAGATAAGCCTTACAAATGGAAAGAACCATCCGTAGCGGACCACGCGTCCGGGACATCGTCCATTAATTTGTTGCGGACGGGGCATGGTGTCACCTTGTTGACTCTCGTATGTCTGTGGGTTTCAGTGCCTTTTATTCATTGCATAAGGTGTAAGCAGAGTTTTCTATGTAGTGAATATGTAATAGATGGTAGTGATATGACGCGATTTTGAATATTTAATTTCTATGTTCGTTCATAAATGACGTTGTCGTCGTGAGGCTATGCGAAACAGTAACAGCGTGGTGGTTATTTGAGGTGACGAAGTGAATTAATAGGATAGACTGGGAAGCGAYGGTATGGGGGAAGACGTTCACCAGTGAGACAATTAAGAGGGCCGCCTATGGCCGGTGGTGTGACGATGAAGGGCAGGGTGTACGCATCCAGTCTGGCATGCACTGATTTGTCGTAATGGCTTGAGCCTGGAAGTAGAGAATTGACCTATGGTAGTGTGGGGACGTGCACGTTTGATTTACTTGCACTTTGCTGTTTGTGTGCAGTTGGCTTCGAAAGAAGAGGAGCTGGAGTACGTGGTCGTTTTCACTTCCTCGCTGCCTATTTGGGTGAACATGGCCGGTCAGAACTCCGTGTTTCAGAATATGCCTGCGACGGTGGTGAAGGAGGCTTTCAACATTCCCGAGGACCTTTTGGAGAAGCTGCGGCACCGCAGAACCTCACACTCTATCATACTGCCTGCGCCCACGACTTCTGAGCAGAAGCAGCAAGAGCCGGTGGAGGCCAAGAAGCCATCGCAGGGCCTGCCATACGCTTTCATGTGACTCATGTGGGCATGAACGGACCCCCTTGAGAAGGCGCTGCTCGTAGAGCTACATTGAGGTTGCAGTGCCAGAAGCAGCACGAGTGTCGAGGACAAGAAGTCATCGCAGGGTCTGCCATACGCATTATGTGAGCATGGGCGGACCGTGGAGACGAGTGCTGCTCGTAGATCCACGGTCGAGGCCGTCTCAGTGCCCGTCTCTCATGTGAATGTTGCTGCGCCATCGAAGAGCCAACACAGTTTGTGCGTGCCCATGAACTGCCGGTGAAACAGCAGTGCGAGGGAGAAGAACGTATGACGTTGTCGCGCTGTGAAATTGTAAATTAGTGAAACTCTTTGTGAATGGACGTGAATGGACTGGGTGATGTAGAGCCACTTGCGCGATGATGCCTTGGCTTGCCGACGTGGAGAGGAGGGGCATAGAAAGCCAGTCCAGTGCCAGTCAGTTAATCCCTGTTAGTGAAGGTCACAGGGACCACGAGCAGACCACGTTTGTTTTACTTGAAGAGGATGTCCTGTGCAATGGAGTAGTCGTTCGTGGATGATTTTGACGACAGGAAGGTGGATTTTCGAGAAAGTATTAGGCCAGAATGTCATTTGTCGGGAAGGCTGGTAGAGATGGGCAGTAGTGTGCAGCAGATGCGAGTGCCCTTGAGGGAGCTGCGTTGTTCTAATGATGTATGAATGCCTGAGGCCTCCGGAGTGAAGGAGATTGTAAAATAAACTAGGCAGGTCGTGTGAGCCTTGGCAGAGGTGACAGCAGGGCGGGTGGTCTTTGTCATGCTGTTTCCGGGATCCCCTTACCCTCTGTTAGGTTGCGTTGTCTTTGTGTTAGGTTTAGCAAATTAGCAGTGTGTGTTAGATGGGTTTGTATCCCCTTTCCGTTGGGGCAGGAGTCGTTAAATTCGTCCGCATGTCAGCATTGTCCTAGTCAGCCTCTTGTCCTGTGACCTGTGGGTACCAAAGGATTGACCGGATCCGGTTCGTTTAGGTCCATCTCAGCAAGATCTGTGGTTGCCAAGAATCTGGGTCCATGTTAGCAGTCAGCGGCCTCGATCTTTTACGTCCTCATGATAGTGGCTGACACTGGTAGATCGTGTTACTGAAATAGTGAAGCACACACGTAGTTGGGGAGTGAACAGTAGTTGTTCGCTGGAGCAGTCAGCTGCCCAAGTCTTTTACATCATGATAGTGTACAGTAGCTGGTATCTGGAGCATTCCGCCGCTCATGACAGCGAGTCCGACACTCTCGTTAACTGTTAATAAAACAGTGATGCAGACATTTTGTGGGTAGTGTACAGTAGTTGGTTTCTGGTTACACGGGGGCTCTGATAGACTGGTATAGTAGTTACACGGGGGCTCTGATAGTATGCACGGTGTAGTAGTCTAGTAGACTCCTTGAGGATTCTCAACGAAGCTCAAGTGCTCTGGGTGTGTAGTGCTATGAGAATTGCTGCATATAAAATGGTATTACCTCTGATACGATTTCGTGTGAATGTTGTATTTTCTTGTTTGTCGAGGTATCTGTTTCCTCATCCGAGCTGCTTGATTGTGATCTTGCCTGCTTCATTCCGCCCTTCCCTCCCCTTCTCTCTCTCTCTCTCTCTCTCTTGCTTTTTATGATTTTGTGTGCGAAGTTGCTGTGGTCTTGGGGTGATGGTGATTCGTGAATATGATTACATCTCGCGTTTGGTGCCGAATTGTTTAACTAAGCCTGTGAGCTTCATCAGTTGGTGGAAAGCGAGGTGGCATTTTAGGAGACGAGGGAGGGCCAAGGGTTTAACGGGGCTCGAGTGCTCTTGGTGCTCTGCTCTGGATGCTCTGGATGTGTATCTCGTACTAGACTCGGTAGTGTTATGAGAATTGCTGCATATAAAAAAGGATTAATAGCAAGAATATTGCTTTTCAAGTTTGGCAGCAAAAATTTCGTCTGTTCGAAGTTACCTTTGCAAAAATAGATGTGTCCTTGCAGTTTATAGCAAAAATACCGCATTTTGTCCAGTTTCACAGGAAAGGACCCCTAGGCCTCTGGCATCAGGGACTCAGGGACTCAGCGTTTTGTTTTCGGGCATGGCCGACGCATCTGGGTGTGCCCACGGCCGAAATGCCTTGGCCATGGCCGCGAAAAAAAAAAAAAAGAACGTGGCCGAGGCATCTTGGGTGTGGCGAACTACAGCCATTTTTCGTTGCCCATTCGTGTATTTTTTGCCCTTTCGAAACCAGAGTCTCGAGGCCAGGGGCCTAGGGGTCCTTTGCTGTGAAACCAAGCAAAATGCGGTATTTTTGCTGGCAAACTACGATAACCTGATAAAGCTGCAATGAAAATTCTATTTTCGCAAAGGAAACTTCAAAAAACGGAAGACATTTTTGCTGCCGAACTTCAAAATAGCAAAAATTTTTAAATTAACCCCATATAAAATGGAATTACCTGACACAATTTTGCGTGAATGTTGTGTTCTTCTTGTTTGTTGAGGTATCTGTTTCCTCATCCTAGCTGCTTGATTGTGATCTTGCCTGCGTCATTCCTCCCTTCTCTCTCTCTCTCTCTCTCTCTCTCTCTGTCTCTCTCTCTTTCTCTTTTTATGATCTGTGTTTGTGAAGTTGCTGTGGTCTTGGCGTGATGGTGAATATGATTACATCTCGTGTTTGGTGCCAAATTGTTTAACTACTGAGTGATTATGCCTATGAGCTTCATCAGTTGGTGGAAAGCGAGGTGACATTTTTAGGAGATGAGAGGGAGGGCCAAGACAGAGTGCAGTGCCAGGTTGTGTATTGTGAACCGTGCAGTGTTGTGGCTTGTGTTCCCGTTCTTTTCATGTGTTGCATGTGTAGCTGGCCGTGACTAACCGCTTTTGGCACTCAGTCTGTTGATTTGTTTTGCTGTCCTGTTGTTTTCCTCTGTTACTATAGATGCTTGGGTTGTTGTGTCATGGACAGTGGACACCCCATGGCATCCAGACCGGCTGCCGTGGAATAATGAGGCTGTCCATGACACCCCATGGCATCCAGACTGACTGCCGTGGAATAACGAGGGTGTTCATGACACCCCATGGCATCCATTGACTGCCTAATGAGGCTGTCCACTTTAACCTGTAAGCCAATGGGGAAATTTTTGGCAGCTATGCGCCCAACCGCATGCATGCCTGTATGCTATGAATTGTCTATGCTGCGCTACATACATACTACATAGTACATGCTTGATGTGACTTACACCGTAGTATGAATCAGCACATTGCGTACTGATGGGTTCTACTCCTCCCGTGTTCTTGTCCAGTCACTGTGGGCCATAGAAAATTTCTGTTGTTTATTTGGGGGACGGAGGGGCTGAGGCCTGAGGCCCTGAGGGTAGTTGAGCGAGGGGGAGGATGTTATCTTTTAGGAAGGCGATTGGGAAGATCCGGGATAGGAAACGGATGTGGTAATGGTGGGTGGTTGTGAAATTGTGCAACGCTTGTGGCTGTTGATGCCGTGGCATGGGACATGGGAGCCTCTATTCTAGCAAGTTTGACCAGCACTTTTTCATGACCCGGGGACCAATTCCTCGAGTAAGTGCTTCGAATTCTTCTAGGCAAGTCTTTGGGGTTACTATATAGAATTCCAACCTGACGTTTGCCTCGGAGTGCCTTTTCCACTCACTGATTTTTCCCAATCTTCTACAGTTACGGTGTGCATAGTGGAATATACATCGAGCATATGCTGCTGCATCGTTTTCTAATTTAATGCATCATTTTCTTATTTAATTGTCCTGGAAGTGGGTGATGGGTTATTGTTGGTGTGATTTGAGAAACCTGTGTGGTGATGGTGGTTGTGGCAGTGCATACTTTGAAAGTGTGCGACTGTATATCCCTTGGGGCAGGGTACGGTCTGTGACTTCGGTTTGATTATGTGTGCTGAGAATCCTTTGTGGTGATGGTGGTCGTGGAAAAAAAAGGACCTACTGCCCATCCCGTGGGCAGCTAGGTATGTGTAGTGGAATATACGTAGACTGGGATGATTGTGTGTGGGTGCGGAGAGTTTTGACTGATGCATTTGTTTATTAGGTGTGTGTGTGTGTGTGTGTGTGTTATGTCCGCCACGTTACTGTGCCAGACTGTTTCGTTGCACTTTGGACTTTGGAGGTTGGTGGTGTTGTGTGGGTGTATGTGTGTGTGTGTGTTATGTGTGGTTCATCTCACACATGATTGTCCCGGATGGTTTCTGTGACCGAATATAGTTGAGCGATAGTCTCCCGGGATGTGTTTGACGGATGAGGATGAACCACATTGCCCACAGTTTTAGCCATACCCCTGAGAAAAGTGGTTGACTTTTACTTGCGCACCAGGCATGTGTTCCTTTGGACTGCTGGTTCCAATGGTTCGAACTCCGGGCAAGAATGGCAGCAAATCCGAGAAACCAGTTCTTGGTATAAAATTGAACTTGCTACATGGATTATGGATATGCACTGGAATGATTTGGTCAAATCTATAGGACCACGCCGTCCAGTATCTTTCAACGCCGTGAAGAACTCGCTGAAGTATGGTCCAGACCCTAGTCCTGACCGTTTCCCCTGAACAGAGAGCTTAGGCATGCCGTGCTGTCTGTCAGGTCTATATAGAAGGGCACAAAAAAAGCGGGACTGTGCTGGACTTTTTCATTGGACTTCACGGCTGCATCCAGACGTGCATCCGTGAAAGTTCGTGAAAATAAAGCACGTCCGCCGAATGGAGAATGGAATACATACCTTTATCATTTGTAGCGATTATATGGTCTTAATATATGGATCAAATACATTTCGTCCCACATATCATTTCGTCCCACATATATCGTATCGATGAGATATATATCGATCGCACTACGATGGCTTACTATATACTCGGAAAAAAGCAAAGGCCGTAGGCTCGCTAGCTAGAGAAAGATTAATCACTACAATGATACTTTTTTCTATTTTTTCAAGCATCGCTTTAGTTTCTGGCGCTATGGTTATACGTGCTAGAAACCCAGTTCATTCCGTTTTATTTCTCATTTTAGTATTTTGTAATACTTCAGGTTTACTTGTGTTATTAGGTCTTGATTTTTTTGCTATGATTTTTTTAGTTGTTTATGTAGGAGCTATTGCTGTTCTATTTTTATTTGTGGTTATTGAATTGAATGTCATGCATGATATGTACCAATTACCCACCCGTTCGGGTGGGGTTTCAATCTTTCTTGTTTTATAGTACGTGTGATAAATTGAGAAGCGGCTTGTTTCATTTCATGCGTTGACAACATCTAAAAAAACAACAAACAAAATGAAATTGTATATAATTGGCATTTTAGCCAAAATACTTGGAATAATAATACCACTTTTACTAGGAGTTGCTTTTTTAGTACTAGCTGAACGTAAAGTAATGGCTTCTATGCAGCGTAGAAAAGGTCCGAATGGCACAGTCCTGCTTCTTTTACTTATGGCAGTTGCCAGTCGACGCAGTCGGTGTGCCAGCGTGGTCCATGAATGTCGATCACGTGTTTACTACTTAGCATATTTTTTTATTTTGACTATTTTTAACTTTTACCACGGGCAGTGTGCGGTTTGAAATTGCACATGCCGATGAAACTTCATGAAAGCAATGCTCTAGGTTCAGTGATCGTTGTACTTCCACATAAATTTTTCGCCCCGCAGTGACTGTCGTGGTTTAAGCGGTCTTTTGTAAGGCTGCTGTCAGCTGACAGATGGTGATAAAAATGTGGACAATCAGCAGAAAGTCAGACGTATGTCATGTCTCCTATAATCGGCCTGATCATTTCCCATTTTATGCGCTGAATCCGCTGACGACTCGAACACACATGGTGATGTAGGTGATGTAGGAGGGTACGAGTACTCTTCTTTTGATTCTGCTAAAAAGTATAACGATGAGGCCAGGTAAGAAAGAGTAGGAACACTAGCACGTAATTTCATTTTCATTCGATTTAATTAGGTTGGAGAAAGGTTCAAATCTCACGGTCTGTTAGCGTACCACAGGTACATGTATACTGCACTTATATCTGACGGTAGAAAGTCGAGAGAATACAAAAGGACCAGTGTCTTAGTCGTTGAGACGAGTGTCTGTGGACTTTCTGTGATACAGGTTTGCACTTGTTTCCTGCCCTGGGGGCACTTTGCGTTAGTATCTGTCTTGTTAGTGTTGCAGATGCATTGGTATGTACGCCGTCTTTCATTTTTAATTCATTCTTGAAGGAACTCCTAATGGACTCGATACCATATCTATAGGAGTACCATCTTGAGTTAAGGCATATCTTCTGTAGGTAATATTTTTGAAATGACTCCCTTATGTCAATGTCTACCAGCTATTTTGTCTCCTACTTGAATTTTTCGTTTTTGTAAAATATATATGTTTAGTCTTTATGTATGCCATCTTTCATTTTGATCGATGGCTAGTAGTGTAGTGTTTACTACACGGATCATCAGCGGCGGATGTGTGGCTGGTCACCGGGGTGGCATTTCCCTAAGGAGTAGCTTGGAAGAAAATATTTAA